AGACGCTGACCTGATTGTGGCAGCGGACAGCAACCCGCAATGAGTAGAGAACCAGCCCGCAAGGACGCTAGCATAGCAGGTGAGCATCACTGCTCCCGTTGCAACCCGGGGGCCCCCACTGGCCTCCACCTGGGCCGCGATTCCTTCCGCGGTCGCTCGCAATTTCACGAGGCCAGCCGCATAAACAACAAGGCAAGGCAACGCAAGGCTTCGTGGGTGTTCATACACATCAGCTTGGCTGGTTCCCGCGGTTGGCTTTGCGAACCGCTTTCGAAAGAAACTGCACTAAGCTCGGTGTGCATTCTTTGGTCGTGTTCGTGGTGAGCAGTGCCAAGCGCAGCCGCCATGCCTGGAAGCAGTTCGCAGCCATGCACACGAGGCACTGCACATTGCTATGTGCACACGCCGTGGGTTGTGCACTGCACTACCGCATGTGGGCTGCACAGCTGCATAGGCTATGCACTCAGAACGGGATGCGGGTAACGCGCAGTACGTGAAGGGCAGCGCGGCGAGTCGGTGGCAGTACCTGACTGGGACGCGCGTGGCGCATAAGCGCGCCCGCAGCGCGTCGCGTGTGCGCATGTGTTTCTAAGTGCGCGCGGTGACCCCTGTGTGTGCGGCCCAGCAGCGGGAGCGGCTGCGAGGATAGAAAAAGCACGCATCGACCAAGAACCAAAAAACTTTCCATAGCAGCTCCAGCATGACCCTATGCAGGGACATGGTGCTATGTAGGTGCAGCAGCTCTTTCTCCAATGACTGGTCGCGGCCGTTTCCTCTTCGTTGGGTTGTCCAAGGCTGGCAAGCGTGGAGGGCCAGCGCCTGCATTGACAATTGGACACCCAGCCGAACATAGCATGGCGCATAGACGACGCCAGCGGTGGCAGCGCCACGCGTTGTAGTGGAAGCCACTCGCCATTGTCATTAACTTGTTGCGTCGCACCACTGACCCTCCTGCCTGCAGAGCTTCGTGCGTGTTGATACGGTTCAGACTGGCTGGTCTTTGGGTTGGCTTTGTGAACCTGCACAGGGCACTTTTGAAGGAAACTGCATTGAGGTCGATGTGCAGCCTTTGGCCGTGTTGGTGCTGAGCAGTGGCAAGCACAATTGCCATGCCTGGGAACAGTTAGGAGTCGTGCACAGCAGGCATTGAACGTTGCACTCAGCACACGCTTTGGATTGTGCACTGCAGTGGCCAAGTGCGTTGCACAGCTGCTTCGCCAATGCAACTCATATCCTGCGCTGGACACAACCCCATAGCAATGCTACTGTGATGTTGTGCATGCTGTACAGTGCATTCCAGTGCTCAGTTCAATTCTTGTTGAATCCCATGTTTCGATGACACATTTTGGTGTGGACAACGCACGCATGTGGTGGAGCAACACAATGTATGCGCACCCGCAGTGCAGCTGTTCTGTCAACACCCTGCCTTCCCGTCCACAGTATTCAGCAACCACACCAGCCATTCAATCCCTGTTTCCACCACGGTAAGATTTTCCCATCCTGCCGCACTTCCATTCTGGTCTTTATCCATGCTTTCCTCTTTGTTTGCCCCCTCGTTGCCACAGGGTAAGCTGCAAACGACATCCCAAAAATGGCATGTCAACACTGTCAAGGCACGCAATCACACGATTGTCTGTGTGTGCTCACTGGACACCACGTCATCAGCAACTGCACAGATGGGCAAGGGAAGACACGCACAACAACGCAGCCTGCCACACCGGGTACATCGCCGCCTCAGTTCCTACAAACAAGGAGACAGACGCTGCAGCGACACAACGCCTGCTTTACCGAAGTGCTCCTGAGCTGTAACGCTGCATTGCATCACTTGCTCTTGTAACATGCCTACTCCCTTCCCTCCTTCCCTCTCTGCTTCCCCTTCCTCCTCTATTATCTCAATCTCAATCTCACACCTGGCGCAAGCCTTGCATGCTCCCAAAGGGGCAATGGTCTGAGTGCTCATGGTTTGCTGGACAAACAGCACCACATGCCCGCAACGGGCCATGCTGGAATCCATGCTCGATTCCATGCTTGAATCCATTACACACTTCAATTACTCACACACTCCACACAGGGAATTATCGACGGAGTGCTCAAATGAAGACAATCATCGCTCGGTGTCAATCCGCGATTATCTTGGGAATCCAACACGCTCAACACATTCCATCGCTTCTTCAAACCCATGCAGCGACACAAACCTGACCTCCAACGCTGCATGATGCCTGCCACGCCCTCCATCCACCCGCCGGGCTATTTCCCGGAACCGCGCCGCTGCGTGGCGGTCGGCGGGTTCTCACTTGTTCATGAACTCATCAATTTCATTAATAACACCCTCGTCCGCGCGAGACAAGAATGTATCTTGTTTTGTGTGGGAGACAATGAAATGTCCTGCCCGCACCACAGTGCTCGCACACCCCCTCGCAAGCGGAGGCGCACAAAACGCGGCTCCCACCGCCAAACGCGGCGGCCCGCTGTGCCAGGCACGCTCCCTTCCCCCTCCCCGCTATGTCCAGCCCCAGCCTTTTCAAGATGATGTCCCCCCTGGCTCGCATCCCCCCCACCCTGCTGGCCCACCGCTTGCTGGCCTCTGGGCCCGGCAACAAGCGCCATCGCGACCGCGCCCTCGAGACGCACAGCCTGCGCCCCGAGGACAAGAACCAGGGCCCGCGCTACAAGCGCGTGTCCAAAAACATGCGCGACTTCCCTCTCAGGAATCATTCCCGCTACACGCACTCCGACGAGCTGGCCAAGTGGGCGATGGAGCAGGATGAGGATGACGATGAAGACGGGGTCGCCGGGATCGACTTTTTGGATGAGGTGCTAGGCGGCGAGGAGGAAAGGAGATCCGGGGGTGTGGCGATGGAGGAGTCGGAGTCCAGGCTGGTGCCCACGCTGAGGAGCAAGGTGGATTTGGCAATGCCGACCAGCTACCCGAGTCCGCCGGCGGAAGTCGGCGGGCGGGCGAGGGCCACGCCGTCGTCGTCCGGCCAGGGCGAGGAGTGGCCCGAGCAGCGGCTGACGCTGAAGGACATCCCGAGGGTGGGTGTCGCGAGATGCGTTGAAGTGAGCCCAAGCGGGCCCTGGGGGTGGAATGGGGGCGGGTTCGAGCTTGCTGGGTTGATTGGGGCGTGGTGCCCGGAGCTGCTGGGTCTTGGGCCCGGTTTGAGCAGAGGGTTGTGTTAATTCCCCACAAATGTCTGATGCCCTTAATTTCAGGACATGGAGTTATAAAGGTCATGAAGGTCGTGAAGCTAAAGAATGCAAGGATTTCCTGAAGGTATTGAAGGTCATGTTCGGATCTAGGGTTTTAGAGCCCTTGTGTCCTTCATGACTTCCATGTCCAGGAATAACAGGTATCAAATAATCCTAATTCCTTGCATTTGCCTTCATGTGAGAGAGTGCTGGCAGGGCAATGCCCACACACCTGGTTGGCGATGACGGGCAAGAACACATCCAAAGCATGCGATTCTTCCACGTCCATCAACTTCTTCACTTCACCACCTGTTTGCATCCTGCATGAGTAGAACTGCAGAAAGGAAGCATACTTTCCCCATTTGGAAATGCAAATAGTGAAATTGGGGACTGCCTGTTGGTTAAGGTTATGTGTCACATTCGCTGCATTGTTCTTGTGCTTTTGAAGTTTATCCTGCGACACAGAGCAGAACAGTATGGAGCATGAAACTGCCCATTGGCATAGTCATGCATCACCAGTGACACAGAGACAGGAGAGACATCTAGCATCGCATTCCGATAGGCCACAAGGCACTCAAAAAACTGGTGCAAGATTGTTTTGGGGGAATATTGTGTGGAATCGGAGGTCATGGCCATTTGGTCTGATTGACAGTGGCACCAATGTGTCTTTTTGGGGATTATCCTGTTTTTCAATCCAGGGACCTCACCTGGGCGCTTGAAATGTGGTGCAGTATTTGCAGTCGGAAAGGCGCAGGGAGCACCAGTTCGGAATGTGCTGCTTGTGTGCCAAAACTAATGCCAAGTCACCACATAGTGTGGTTGAAGGAAGAAAAGAAAAACACCTCTGGGAAGAAAATGTGCTCAACCTTCCAACATAGTCACGGAATTGACAGAGAGTTGCCTCCAATCTCTTTCTGTGGGTGTCAATGGACCCATGCACTCCGATTGGGGAAATCGAGTGTATGCCAGAATCTTACAGATGCAGAGTTCTGCCAAATAGACAGTATCGAGTGTCGGATATGATGTGCTGAGAGTGTCCTTTGAATCCTCAACTGCAGCTGCCCACCGAATTTCACGAACTGAGCCGGATTAGGTTCAGAGACAATGGTTCTGAGACAACTAGGACACACACTTGAAGTATTTGAGAACAGCAGAATGGGAAGGAGTGGCTTTCACAACACCTTTCTCATCTCGATTGGTGCTAAAACTTACACCTGTGATACTGCTGATGAGGATTTTGGCGTCCAATGGACGTGACAGTTTGCTGCTATGAAATGAACAAGCTCAGCACACATGACATTGTGTTTACAGACTTGGTCTTGCTGACCCAAGTCCATTGAAGTACTTGCTTACAGATATTTGGTGTTGGCCGGTAAAACCAAGAAGTGACTCATTACAGTGGTTGCCAGAATGAACACTTAATTTTGTTGAACGGTGCTCACCCAGGCCAATTGCGCGGCCCACCAATTCCTTGAACCAGTTCCTTCGTTCAATGGTGGCTTGGATCCTCACTGGGGATGAGCTGCAGGTAGCTGCTTACTGATTGGATCACACAGATGCACTTCATGGGAAAGTTGAAAAGTACACACCACCACTTGTTCTGCTCATCAGGTGTGGGGAGGGGCTGCCTGTTGGCTTCAAGTGCGATGTACACCCACTGTATAAACCCCCTGCCCTTCACTCCACCTCTAACCCTGGGACCTGGGACTTGGGACCCCACAAATCACTACCTAGCGGTGAATATTCTGGCTGGTCGATGTGCAAAGTCCCGATGAGGAGATTGCTGACTGGTCTTCTCGTTGCTGAAGGGAATGAGGCACATGCTGGTTTACAAGGCCATGAAACAACCCATCGCCATTATAATCGGTGAGTGCCCTGACAGAATTTGCTTGCAAGTGCTGGTTCAGTCCAGTTACATTTTGCAAAATGACAACACCAAGTGACATCCATTTGATGAAATCCAATTCGGTGCATAGTTTTATTGCAGACTTCAGGGACAGCGATGTTTGACTTGATGGTGCATGTGCTGCCATTGGCAACCAGAATGTTGCCATTGGTGCCACTGCACACAGAACACGGGTATGCTCGAGGGTGTCATTTTGACATGTTATTGGACATCCTGGAGTGTCGAGAGTCAGAGGACAATGGGATCTGTAGTGATTCCAATGATTTGTGCACAGCGAGACGTTGCTTTAGTCCCTCTGAATGATGGCTTGGGCCAGAAACGGTAAGGAAAACCTAGTGGCTACTGTGTGGCCAGGGAGGAGGGAGCACCAGTTCCATAGGCTGGCAAAATTTACTGAAAGTCACTGTGTCATGAAGTCATGAACCATTTACACCTTCCAGAGTGCAGAACTTCTTTTCTCCCAGATCTGGAAGTCCATGCTCAGTCCAGACTGGCGTTTACTTTGGACACGATGGGTTATGGGCCATGCAGGGCCTTGCGCTTTCTTGTTGGACGGCAGAAGGCCCACATCTCTGTATTTAGGATAAGGGCGGCACCTGGGCTCTTAAATGTGATGTCGGATTCTGGAACCCAAAGAAAAGGAGAACTGTTCACACCTCCTTCATCGCAACTTCCTTATTGAACGGCAGCGCAATGGCAACACCGTGCTGACATTTACTGATGCAGACTCAAGAACTCAAACCACCAGTAGCTGCAGCTCCCAAGCTGTGCCCTTGCCATTCTTTTGGTCCATGTATGCGAGCAGAGAGGGAGAACGTGCATGTGTTCGCTGTCGCGGTGGCAGCAACTGGCCATGATTGTGTTTAGATGCGGAGGTTTCGATTGGAGTTCTGGTTTGGTGGAAATTCTGGCTGCACTGTCGTATGAGTTTCTGAGGCCAGTGATCCCACCAACGCACCCTGCCCTTCTTGGCTATTTCCAGGGAAGAAAGGTGTCGACAAGGGGTTGCTGAACTCCCTCAAGCTGCACTTTCGCACCCATGAGGTCCTCAAGATCAAAGTATCAAAGATGTGGAAGGACATCGTTGCCGACATGGCGGCGGAGGTGGAGCTCAAGTCCGGTGGCGTGATCCTTGAGAGGCACGGCTCAAGGTTCATCTTGTTCAGGGGGTACACGCACGCGGACATACCCCGCAAAACGCCACCCAGTGACGCCCTGCAAAACAGCTGGTGGCAGTCTTGAAGGCACAAGTCTACCTTGATTTCAATATCATACTGGAACCAGCAAATGAGTCGCCAATGAACGACCAAGCAGGGAGAGTGAGAGGGGGTTGGTGGTGTGCGTTATGGATCTGGAGCAGGAAGTTGCTATAGCATGTATGTGAATGTCGATTCTTTCACATGGCTCTTGTTTAAGATGTTCTGCTGGGTGAGCAGGATCCAATGCCCATGTCGGGGGGTGTGTACCTCGATCTTTGTTGTGGCCACGGTCTGTTGCAGCTAGAGAATGCGGAAATGGACCACCACTTGGGGTTGCGCGGGAGCGATGTCAATTTTCGGTGGTGGATAGGCCATGCCTTCCTCCTGAATTCACGTCGCAATGCCTGCAGGCAGCTGTCTGAGTGTGTGAAATGCATTGACATGATGCCTTGGCCGAGTCTCTCTGGCTCTGACCCCTCTCGTCATCTGGTATTTGTGCGCAGCTCCTCCTGCAGTGTTCTTGCCGCTTTAATTGTCAGTGGATTCCATCGTTTCCATTGTTTGGGACGACGTTCGAACCTTACCTCATCAGCTTGTACTCCAACGCGCGGCTTGGTCAGGCGTCGTGGCTGGAGCGATTAGTCAGTTGGATCGCGTTGCCAGGTGCAGCTGCGTCTTTGAAGCGTCCTTGTTGTGCGTGGAGGCGAGAAACCAGGTCTGTGGCTTGTCTTGGCTGGGCACGGGCACCACGCAATGATTTGCTTGTGATGTCGACCGCAACTTGCCAACACATTCAATCACCACTCTTTCAGCACTCTCTGACTGCCAAAGATCGTTGTCAACACTTTGATGGCAGTGCCGTCATAACATGGAATGTGATGGCTTTCGAAAGTGGTGCCAATTGGCTTGTTGCAAAAGCTAGCCCACCACAGGCCCTCCCGCCACCCCGTGCGCGCCCAATCGAATTGGCCAGCCACAAAATGAAAACAAGGCGACGGACAAACTCCATTGGTAAACTCCAAGAGGTGATGGATAAAAATGGCCACTAACGCTGCGAAGGCGGCCTCCCTGCTGGCAACACGGAGGTTCAAAACGAGGGATGCTTGGTGTGTTGGTGCCGACTTTAGGTTCCGACCAATGCGCGCCAGTTGCCCTGGGGAAAATGTGGCACGTCATGCTCAGGGAAGACATTATGTCGAAATTGTTACGCTCAGCGTTATTTTGACGCTGAGTGGGGAGGGTGGGGTTCCAGACCTGTGACGCTGAGATTATGCAATTGCAACAAAATCTACATAAGCTTGGAAGATACACAAAAAGCTGCTGAAAAGTGGCGATAAACGTATGATTTGTCTCAATACTTCCCTTTGGCGTTCAGTGTTCAAGAAAGGCCCCATAGAATCTCGATTGGCGGCCTTCAAACCTGTCCCCCATCATCGCTATTGCATTTTGCACCTCAGTTTTCCGCCAACTAAAATTGCTGCAATTTTTGTTGGCTTTTACCTCAAAACATAGTGAATTGGCACCACACCATTATTTAATGATGCTGAGTTATTCTTGCTTCGAAATAAGGATTGACGGCTGGGAGAGGAGGGGGGGGATTTATTACAAAAGAGAAAGAGAAACAGGTCATACAAAGGACACCCCCTCCTAGGCAAGTGTATGTGAGGCTCTTTCCAGTTCTATCCAAAGATGAAACAGAGCCTCTGAAGCAAAGAGGAGCACACAACACAAGCAAGTCATGGCTAAGGGTGTGTGTGGTAAGATGGCATTACAAATTAACGAGGCAAAACCCCTCCTTTTCCACCAGTATTGCAGGCGCTATAGGAGGGAGCCTCGGAGCAACACAAGGCACAAAACAGGAGAGCACATTGCTGGTCCACATATCGAGCGCAGTATAGGGGGGTGGGGGGTGGGGGGTCTGAGCTCAACGTCAAATTGAGGCTAAGCATAACAAAATCGATATAGCGTCTTGCCTTCCCATACCCAGAACATGGCGCCCGTGCTATTCGATATCCAGGATGTGGGCGAGGAGCTGGGGTCCCCATATCCAGGGCATGGGACTCGTTTTCCCAACCGACGTCCCCGTTGCAGTTGCATTTGTCATGCAAAGCAAAAATCCCTTGCACCAAACTGGCGATGTCGGGCAATTGCCCCAAGCACATATTTTGTTGGAGCCAACGGAGGCTGTTCACCAGTACGGCCGGTCGGTCCAAGATGCCGCCAGCAAATTTTCCCAAAAATGTGTTATGGTCTCCAATACTCAACACGCGACAGTTGCAATTTGATACTTGATGCTTGCAGACTGTATTCGTGCATCCATGACTGTTGAGGTCACCTGATCAGTCATGACGGGGTCCAAACTTCGCATTCCGAAGGTGCACGGCGACGCGACGGAGCCTCACAGGCGACACAGGGGTGGATAACAGCCCCGTTACGTACAGTCGATCCCTGGCAGTGTTTCCGATCCTAGGGTCATGGGGAATCGCAATTCAGAGCGTTGCTGAGCTGGTGCATTGCGACGGTTGAACGGCTGTAATAGACCTCAGATGTGGGAGACTTGGAAAATGGTAAAATGCGCATCACCAGGGCAGAATATCTACCTAAAAGACACAGAAGTCGCCTTTATGAATCTGGCTAGATTGGATGGGCCCACGCCGCCAAGCTGCAATAAAGTTTCAACCAAACACATGAGAGGGTTCACAGTCTGCGTCCCGAATGCCCGTTGACCAGCCCATCAATGATAGCTGATTGGTTCATGGATGGATGGATTGTTTATGCGGCTCATTGACTGATGAGTTGATTAATCTTTGGCATTTTTTATTAATGCTCTGCAAGCAAACGCCCCTTGCAAGGGGTCTCTTCTGCCACTGAGGCTTGTGGGAGCACTATGTGAAAATTAAAGACTGATTAAACCATTCATCGCCTGAGGCATAGCGGACACTCAGGGAACGTAGTTAAGATGCCCGCATGTGTTGATTCTTCTTGTCTGTTTTGTAAGCATATTGAGGCACTCTTCTGGGAGCACCTTGTCCGTTACTTGGCATGTGGGCCAGATCGTTATATTGAGTCTGAGCCTATTCATCCATGCTCAGCTTACAGGCAACTACTGTGGTATGGTGGTCGATTGGGAGGACCCCACTTTTGGGGCCACCATGTGGGATGATTGTAAGCTGACCGTCTTTGAGTGCCATGTGGGATGGCTACCAGGACCACGCATGCTGTGATCACACTGCCAGAATGATGAGCCGGGAGGACTTCAAAAGACACTGAGGCTGGAGATCGAGGCTGCCCTCTGATGCGTGGGCCAACTGCCAAGAAACTTGGCAGTCTCGGCCCAAGACGAATGATACGCCCCAAGGAACCACGGCAGAGCGAGGACTACTCACACATCTGTTTGCGACCCATCGGACCCAACCATTAGTTAAGGGGCTTAAAGCGAACCCCTCCAACATAGTGCAAAGACCTTCAGGCCGAACCTTAGTGCTGATGTGGATTGGAAAGGACTCGCCCAGCCAGAAATATGTCCACTGTCAGGTGACCAGCCACCGACCATAAACTAGAAGTATGTGAACTAGGGTATGTGATGGCAATGGGGCGAATGTGAGGATTGCAGCGAATCCCTTCGGGGACAACTAGGCCGCAACTAGACCGTTGGGACAGCAACGGGGCCGGGGGGGAGGGGGACTCAGAAGACCTAAGAACCCAGAAGCATTGGAGAACTAGGCAAGATGGATTTATTACTCAAGGCTGACCAGAGGCTGAACTTCTTTGCATCTGTAGGGCAAGTGCACCCATCCACGCCAACACGGGGTATTCACTTTGGCCCAAGTGGGGGTCGCCCTGTGCGCATCCAAGGCCAGCACGTGGTGTCATCACGTCCATTCGCTATCCACTTTTGTCCACCTGCGTGGTCTCACGCTGTGCGACAACAGTCATTACGACGACTGCCAGGCGGATGCCACGTACATCCCAATACGGATCGCGAACCCGTAATCGAAATACCTCCCCCCGTCACCCGAGATCTTAGTCAATATCAGGCCATATGCGGGCCCCTTTTTGCGCCTTACGCCCGCCCGCAGTAGCCATTATGTCATAAAAAACTACGCACGTATCGTATTCGAAGTACTGGGCGACGGCCGGGGGGTCATGTCAAGCACACGTAAGTGGGCCCCGGGCCCGTGACTGGAAGGGCTTGGCGGGACTCGCCTGCCACAGAAATACGGCACCGGCCCACCGCCCGGTCACGTGGCACCCCCTGTGTCCTGAGGCCCGACATGGGCGGGGATGACGATCCTGCCCGCACCCCGTCATGCCATTCACCATGCCCGGCACCATAAAGCCCGCCGCCCTCCACCCCACATGATCCGCAAGCGCTTCCCTCTGGCACAGCCAAGCCCCGGCCGCTACCCACCTTCCGCCCCCACCCCCTCCCCGGGTCGAAGAAGCAATGGATTCGCCCGGCCTGCGCTGCGTGACCATTCCCAGCACGCCATGCCTTCAGATTCCCGAAGGCTGGGGCGGCGGCCTAGCCTCCCCAATTGCCGCCGGCCATGTGTGGGCCCCTTTTCGGGCCGACGCACAATCCGCCGACTCGCCCGTGGCCTTTGTGCTGACGGACTCCGGTCCATTGACCCTCCAGCTGCCGGGGCTGCAAGTCCCTGCGGGCGGCTGGGAGGCGGGGGAGTTCTGCCCCGAAGTGCCCACCCTGGGGCGCGACGTCTGCATGGTGGACGGGGACGCGGCGGTGGCTCTGGAAGGCCCGCTGGCGATCGCCATCCAGGGCGTGGTGGGCTCGGACGGCCCGTCCGACTCCCCCGGCAGCCAGGATCTGGGCAATTTGATGACACAACTGGGGTGAGGGGGACGCGAGGCGCCAATGCGCGCCGCCGGCGGAATAGGGCCGCGGGGGTCGTCAGAAAGGCATCTCGACGGGCGAGGGGTGGCGGGGCCGGGGGGAATCTGGGGAGCTGGGCTGGGCGGATGCGGCGCTCGGAGTCGCATGGATCGCGCGAGCCACCCGGTAAGCGCTTAAGGCGGACGCCCCTCTCACTCGCTGTCCCCTCGACCCTTCCGTCGTACGCGACAATCGCGGTTTCCCGGCCCGCCCCCCGCTCCCGCCAGCACGCACGGCGGCGCGTCGCCGGGCCCATCGCGCACGGTGCCTGCCCCCGCCGCTCGATCGTCGCCGCTCGTCCCATCCCGCAGTCGCGCATGTGGGATGGGATAGCCGCATGAAGGATACGACATTGTCTATGACTGTCCCCCGTTCGTCCGCAGTGCCGGGTGGGTCTCGCAGGCGTCACGCCTCGCCGCGGCGCCGGTGGCCGCGGCGAGGCCGCAATCGATCCCTCCCCTCGATCTCGCACCCTCCCTTTCTTGCTTGCTTTGCGCCTGCCGTCCGCCATCCTGCATTTTCACGCCACCGCCCCCGCCTTCATCCCCCATAGTCACCACCCTGTGAGGCGACGCTACCCGGAACCCTTCGCGCCGCTCCACGCCGAAGCGGGAGCCCCAGTTCCCCCCCACACCCCCACCTGCCCCCTGGTGTGTCGTTCCTGGCGCGTGCTGACGGGGGAAGTTGCGCCTGCGACTTCGCAGCGGGGGAGGTTTTCATGAGGGCGGCCCCGGTGCGGGCGACTGCGCGGTCGCCGGGGAGGACGCCTTCCACTCGGGCTCCGGCGGGGACGATGAGGATGCGCCCGGGCCGCCGGTGATGAGCTCCGAAGAGAGGCGCAAGCTGCGCAACCGCAAGGCTCAGCGCAAGTTCCGCGAGCGCCAGCGCGTGCGGATCTCGCGGCTGGAGGAGGAGGTCAAGGACCTGCACATAAGGGTGGGGTGGAGCCGGCGGCGCGCTCGCGCCGCGAAGCAGGGGCCTCGCGCAACGTGTGCTTCGCACAAGTGCACGCCCCGTTGCCCGTTCAGCCATGCCGTCATGTTTTCCACGGTCTGGCCGGGTCGATTGGGCCCGACACCGGAGGCGTTGTCTTGTGCGGTGGCCTGTGAGGGTCCCCCTCACCACGCGCCACAATGCGTCTTCGTAACGATCTCTTGTGATGTGGGTGCGTCGGGTGTTCGCCGAAGGCCCTGCGGTGGCTGGGTGGCGTCACCCGGTCGGCTGGGTGGCGCATGGTTGAGAGCCCGGCGCGCGTTCCCATCTACATTCCGGACTGCTGACGCGTGGCGCTCTCCTTGGCTGTGATCGCCTCTCGTCGTCAGCCTTCGTAAGCCCCCAGGGTGGGATAAAGGGGCGCCGGCATTACCGCATATCCGTGACAGATTTCGTGCGAGCCCGGTGTCGGAATTCGGGTCGCCGCCGGCACTGCGCGTGGCGGTTGCGTCCATTGATGACGACGCGTTGGCGCTGGGGGTCCATGTTGAAGCTGAAGGCACTGTTTCTTAGTTGTTAGTTCTTGGCTGTCAGTCTCTTAGTTGCTGGTTCCAAGTTCTTGGTTCTGGATTCGGGTGTTGTAGTCTGACCACAGTGACATCAACTGGATGCACTGAAGCGGCAGCAGCACACCTGTCCATACAACTGTCACGGCCTCCCGTCCCATGCGTTGGCACGAGGCGACGAAGCGCCAGGGAATGTGCCACTTGAGCGCTGGAGTAGCTGAAGGTGTCGCGACTGCACTGCTGGTGTGGCAGCATCGCTGCACGGAAAAGTGCTGGGCCTCGAATTCGCCTGCTGTCTCCAACAAACAAGAGCGCATCAAAAGGCGTGATTGGCGACATGTCAGCAAGCTGACAACGCTGCTGTCGTTTCCCGAATGGCCTCCTGGAGTGCCCTTGTGCCCGTTGCGGCGAATCGCTCCTTGGTATCCTAGTATCCGACTAGTAATCTCATACGTTAATATTCAAACTGCGTGGAAATAGACAAAATTACATCTGGAAATTCGGCAGGCGTTGATGCAATGTTGATGAAGGTTGATGCAAGGGGGCCATTGAAACAACGACTCTCAATATTGGTGAATTGCCCTTGAAACAATGGCTCTTGGCGTCGGCGTTGATCAATCCTCCAACAAGTCGTCATGATGCAACATTCCCAAACAAGCAGTGTTCAAGCCAAGCAGTGTTCTAGCAATGCTGCATCAACGATCCATTTATCAGCCCGGAAATGCATCCAGAAGTTGGGCATGCTTTGATGCACCATTGATAGGCCCTTGGATCAACGCAAACATTCAGGGCTCGTGTCTGTAGAGAGGCGTTGAAGCAATCGCCTGTCAATGTTGTATCAATGCCTACCAGAACTCTGGTTGTACTCATTCTTGAGTGCGTCTTGAGTTGCAGTATGTTGCACCAATGTGTGCCACCTTCAACCCAACTTTTTCTGCCAGTGCCCTGTCATGCTACACTGGCAGTGGCAGCACTCTGTACACTGCAGAACGCCCTGCATGTGTGACACAGTGCGTTACACATTGTCTCTTGCATCTTGCAGTGCCACGAGCTCGAGATGGAGAATGCCAAACTCGAAAAAGAGAATGAGGTTGTCCGGGCGGTGCTTGACGATGAGGAAGTGGATGCATCAAGCGGCAACCTGGCTTCACCGGCATAAGGTAATGCCGGGCACTGGCACAACATCGACCGTTTCACACTCTTGTAGTCCACGTTGAGATGGTGTTCAACTGTACAAATGGGCATAAAACGATGGAAGCTGTGTTAGACACACAGCAGTTCGTGCGATGTAAACCAAAATCTTGGCGCCATATTTCGCTAGTGGAGTGTGCTTTCGAACTCAATCAGCCTTTCAGGCAAATAGCAGAGGGGATTCCCACAATAAATATCCCTAGCCCCTTCTGAAACACCCCTGCACACCCACCCTCCCCATGGCTTAAATTGAGGTGCTAGATGTGCTTGGATTCTGAAGACAACACCATCGAAATGGCATTCGAAATTGGCTCCATCTGTGACGCTGTTGGCTTACTTTCTCTGCTCTATTTGCACATGAAAACATCTCTCCACAGCACTTTGCCATTGCACAATAGAGACTCCTCTTGTGGTACATAAGTTGTGCCTAGCCAAGAAGGGGCACCTGGTGAGTGTGTGTGTGTGTGTGTGTGGATATTCAGTGGCCGCTACTGCAAGACCTCTTCCGTGTATTGCAGCGCACTCAGCACTAGTAATCCTGCTGGTTACTGATGCGTGCAGTGGTCAATGTGCTGAGAACTGGTTGGGTCTGTATTGCAAACCTTCACGTGCGCTTGCTTGAACAACCTCCATTGCACTGCTCCAGAATCGAAACTGAAGTTTGGGCCATAATGTGTTTCTATGTCGATGCCTGACCACGTTGTGTGGTGCTATCAGAATGAAGAGATCTTGAATGACCATGGTCAATCCTGAAATGACGGTCAACAATGTTGAGCACTATTCTTGGCCTGAGTGTGCCAATCGTGCTCAAATGAAGAAATTGCACTTTCCAGCGTGCTTCATAGTTATAGTTGGCCATGAAACTGATGGAAGGTGCATGCCGCACTGTCAGGAAGCACGCTTGTCGCTGCTATTTCGGCAGTGATCAGGGAAGGGGGGTGAGGGAGTTTGACATCTTTGCGCCCTTTTTCGAATCGTTCGTTGCCAGGGCGTTAATGCTGCATGAATGTGCAGCTAATGACTTTCACCCTATTTGCCATTTTTTGGGGACAGTTTTTAGCGTGCTCTTGTGCACTGCTGATTTATATACAGAAGAACTTTTTTACTGCACGTGCCTCAATGGGCTTTTCCTTTTCGCTTTGGCAGCACTGTTGGCAACCTGGCTGGCTGGCGCCCACTTTTGCTCACGGCTGTTGTTTGTAGGCGTGGGGTGCCATGGGGCTCACTTAGGCCTGCAGAGACGGAAGGTGAAGTGACTTCTGAATCAAATTTTCACCAGCCATTTCCTTTTGCACAGTAGTTTGGGGATGAGGGTTGTGTCTGCTTTCCAGAAGCCTCTGGCAGCTTTTTTAATTATCCAGATGATAGGTTTGCTGCCGTTTTGGCACAGTCTGAGCACGCTTTTTTGCGCTGGAAGACCTGCACAGTGTTGAAGACGTATGCGGGATTGGAAAACCTTCTTTGGCACAGTCCTTTGTAGACGAGGGTTATTGCTGCTTGTTCCGGGGACGTCTCTGGCAGCATCTTTAATTGTCAATGTGATAGATTTTCTGCCATTTTGGCGTAGTCTGAGCCAATTTTGTTGTTCTGGCAGATCTGCAGTGTTATATGCAGGATTGAAAAAATATTCTTTCTGACTGTTCTTCTGGAGGCATGCAGTTGGATGTACACGCATCGCAGAGGGTGTGTTTCCATTGCAGTGCTTTACTGTACGAAAAATGCTGCACCGCTTCTAAGAGTCCAAGCGATGCAGTATTGTTGGAACAAGGAAAGGGCAGTCAAATTGCTGCTGAGCATCACACGTTCGTGGTCGCGGATTGCAACTCAGCAGGGAGAGTGGCAGGGGGACTGGCGGTGTGCCTTAGGCATCTGGAGCGGAGCGTTGCTATCTCTTGTGATTGGGATGTTGATGCCATAATGCGGCTCTTGTTTTATATGTTCGGCTGGGTTGGCTGCATGCAATGTCTGTTTCCGCTATGGGACTTGCACCTCGATCTATAGGTTGACTACCGTCTGTTGCAGCGAGGGCAGTGTGGAAGTGGACAACCACTTGGGGCTGTGTACGGAACTGATGTCTTATTTTGGTGGTGGGAAGGCTATACCTTGCTCCTGCTTGACGTTGCAACGCCTGCTTGAGTGTGTGAAATGCGTTGCCATGATGCGGCTGGCCGAGTCTCTTAGGCATTCCTGCCACTGACCGCTGTCGTCACAGGCGATGTAGCCTGTCCATTCGAATGACCTGTCCTGTGCGTTGGAGATGTGCTGTTGGTTCTAAAACCGTTCCGTATCGGAAAGTTTTGCCGTAACGCTTTTTCCTGCGCGTTGGTTTTTCAGAGCGCTATTTTATTGTTTTAACGCTGCTCTGCACAAATTTTATTACAACAGCGTTATCTACTTTACTGTTTCCTCGGGAAAAAAAGGCCGAGCGTTACGTTACTATGCTGGAGGGCCTAAAGCCCAACACTAGTTACAGGTATCGTCCTGCATTCGACAAGGGACAGTGCACCCGCAGGGGGGGAGGGGGGGGGGGGAGGTGCTGGCGAAGCAGCCAGCTCGCGTTCTGCATCAGATGCCACCTTGAACGCCACTGTAACGTTTGTGCCCGCAGTATCTGCTGCATGTTATTTCTGTTCTAGTCGTTTGTGAATTCCATAGTTTGGGACAACATTCGGATCCTTGCTCATCAGCTTATACCTCAAAGGCGCGGCTTGGTCAGGCATCCGAGGTTGGGGATTGTGTCAGTCGGATCGCCTTGCCAGGTGCAGCCGCGTGCTGAAAGCGGCCTTGTGGTGCATGCAGGAAAGAAACAATGTTTTATGGCTATGTTCATGGTCAGCGGCTTCTCTAGGCAGCTGCGCAATATACGGTTTTTCGACCAAAATGCGGTGGCATTCAAAACTGGCGCCAAAATCCACCCCAGCGCCAGAAAAATCCCCCATGCCACCCCACCCCCACATCCCCTGCGCCGCCCCAACTGGGCAGCCGCAGAATGAAGACAAGTCAGTGGAAAGAATTGAAAAGGCGAATTCCAAGGTATGGTGGACAAAATGGCCGCAGAGCGCGGTGAACGCAGCTTCCTTGCGGGCAACACGGAGCTTAAAATTAGGGATGGTTGGTGTGACAATGCCGACCTTTCCCATCAGTGAGTCCCAGCCACACTGGGAAAATCCTGCACATCGTGGATATCCATGTCCAAGATATGGCACCGGTGCTGTCGGTGTCAGGGATGTGCGCGAGTATCTCGGACCCCCATATCCCTGACATGGAACTTGTTTTCCTACATCCTCGTTGCAATTGCATTGTCATGAGGCCCAGCGGAAGGGCTTGCACCAAACTGGCGATGTCGGGCCCCCAACAATTGCGTGGGCAGGACAGAGCAAACGCAGAGCAGTTGCATCAAATGCTGACCGTTCAAAGGAGGAAAGGCAATGGATGGAAGAACAGGAAGAGGAGCTTGCAAACAGGCAAAATGGTTTTACGTTCCCCAGAAATGGTGACAGATTGACGTCCGTGGAAATGACAGAAATATGGGTGACGAAATGGGAGCACTGTCTGAAGCTTGCAGCCAGGGATGATGGCTCGTCTGATGGGAAGTTATGCGTTGCTTGCGTTGCATCATTTTGGTCGCCTGGGGCGCGAAGGGCGACCAAATTCTTTATTGGACAAAGTACTGGCTCTTTGCAATTGTTCTCTTGCCTCGAACTTTGCAAGTCTAAAGGGCGGGGACTATGTGCACAATGAACGGGGATATAGATGTCAACGAGGTACGCTGCCCGTCGTTTGCTCAATACATTCAAAGGGACTGCTGTTTTCAACCAACCAAAGAGACTACCATTGTTCATGGGAGGCGCGCTGAAGCATTTCCGTGGTGATAGCAACAGAAGCTCACACACACATGCGCGGACGAGGTGCAGCGGCGGACGCCCATGCACCAAGCTGGCTCAGCCGCATTCCTGCCAATCATGTTTTTGTATTTTAACATGCTCACACCTTCCGAAACTGATTGTACCCTGCCTTTGCACAATGGCAAATGACTTAATCCCTGGTGCTCTGTTGCAAGCTTAATCAAGCAAAGCACTCGATGGGATTCATCGTTTGCGCGCTTTTTTGCCTATGGGAACGGCTGAGCTCAGAATTCCTAATGGTGTTCCCCCAACCGATTCACAATTGCTCGGATTCAGGGTATCGCGCGAAGTCTCATGTCCATTGCCAATGTCTATGAGCTGTCCGTTGCCCAAGGTTCTGCCGTGCCAATGAAGCGCATTAAAAAGTACGGCAGTAGGAAAGCATCCCCTGCCACTGGTTGCACCATTAGCAATAGCCTTGCCCCAAGATTCATGCATATTGGCGCTCGACAAGTCGACTGCAAAGGTGGATTCGGGTATGGACATGCATATCCGAGGCAACCCGCAATCGCTTCTAGAATGCGCAATGGGCAACTTTACAAGGTGGTACTTGCTGGTCCACAAAGCGGCACTGTTTGCTCTAAGGACATACAAAAGAATTGGCAGCAGGCTGGTCCACGGGAATGCGTGTCCCTCCGCCAATTGGTCCCTGGAGTTGCATCGGCTGATGCCTGCAGTGGCATGTCGCGTGCCGCAGCAGTGGGCTTCATGGGGCACCGAAGGGCCATCCCCCTTGGTCGCTTGTTCGCCCTCCTTTTGTGGCCTCCAGGGTCCTCGGTGCAGGCCTGCCACATGCAACGGGAAAACTTGAATACTGACCTATACTTGGTGTTCGCATGCCTCACACATGGCACTGTTTGGGAAGTACAAATATGGCAACTTGTTGGGTTGCCTAAGCATGGGCTTCGGAGATGAAAAAGGCGTCAGCACCACGCGTTGTATCGACCAGACTTTTGGGCTGTGATAAATGCGCATCAAGTCACCAGCGATTTCTCTCTTTTGTGGGTAGCCAACTGGGGTGACCCTTGCACTAGCCCAATGGCTATCATCAAGCCAACCTTCG